GACCGTGTCCTCTGCACTGGTGACCATGACCTCTGCACTGTTGACCATGACCTCTACACTCGTGACCATGACCTCTACACTGGTGACCGTGTCCTCTGCACTGGTGACCATGACCTCTGCACTGTTGACCATGACCTCTGCACTGGTGACCATGACCTCTACACTGGTGACCGTGTCCTCTGCACTGGTGACCATGACCTCTGCACTGTTGACCATGACCTCTGCACTGGTGACCATGACCTCTACACTGGTGACCGTGTCCTCTGCACTGTTGACCATGACCTCTGCACTGTTGACCATGACCTCTGCACTGGTGACCATGACCTCTACACTGGTGACAATGACCTCCTTCTCTCCTATGAACTAATGAATCTGAGGGCTCAAAACAAGTTAGGGGCAGAGCAGAAGAGAGCTTTTTTACTGAGTCATTAGAAAAGGTGCTGTTTTTAAGTCAGCACTTCTCGCAGAATGGTTTCTCAGTCAATGCTCTTGCTTTCACAGCTGATGCCCCCAACTGCTGCTGAAAGCAGTGCATGCTCGCGTGCGAGGGAACGTAGGCGTAGCTTGCCCGTAGCTACGTTAGATGCTGGGGGAGCGTTTACGCGCGCCCTAGCTAATACTCACCATCTTGACGTGGGTGCGAGTGTGCGTCCTCTTATAGAACAGAGCCGCCTGTTTTTGCCGGCCTGCCCCGTGATCTCTCTGCTCGCATCCCATGATGCTCAGCTTCCCGTCTTGCAGCAGCTTCCTCCGCATCCTCTATCCTCAGCATCCTTAGCATCCTCAGCATCGTCAGAGCTGTCTGTGGCTTCAGTTGTGCGTTCGTGTGGCAGCAGCCAGGTTTTCTTCCGTTTTCGCCCCTGCGTTTGTCGGCAGTTTGTGTCTGTCGGCTCCGCCCTTCACGCCATTGCCCTTGTGTGTATCTGGGCTTCACGAGGCCTATAGGGCTTCTTTATTTGGGCTTCACTGTAGTACGGCGCTGTGATGGTAGCCGGTGCTGGCGGCAGACGTCACCAGCAAGGAGGCAGAGTCGTCGACACCCGTGTTGTGTTTGTTGTTGTTAGCGACGGTGGCGATGATGATGATGATGATGACGACGACGATGATGACACGGATCGGTGCTTGTCAGAGTGGTAGCAAGTAGAAACTTCACGCATCGCAAACGTACCAGCAGCGCACTAGCGCTGCGAAATCTTCCAGTGGTGCTTGTCATAGTGATAGAACAAGTAGAGAAACTTCACGCCGTAGAAGCCAACAACGCACTACGACTGACTAGCGCTGCAGTCTTCCTGTGGTCTAGCGTCCACGTGTTCATTCCACGGGTTCATTCCACCACGTGTTTTCCTTAGCGAGTTGTCCCGTACTGTGTATAGTAGTTTCGTGAGGGCTGCTAACGTTATATAGGCCAGCACACGCGTGGAGAAGGCGTGTGGGCGACGTGTATAGTAGTTTCTGGGTGCTGCTGCTGCTGCTAGCTGTTATATAGACGTGCACGCGCGTAGAGGACGCGCACGTGTTTGCTATACGGCGGACGGGATTCCTGTCGTCGTCGTCGTTGTCGTTGTTGTTGTCGTCGGTCGTCGTCGTCGTTGCCGCCGTTGTTGTCGTCGTCGTCGTCGTCGTTGTCGTCGTCGTTGTCGTCGTCGTTGTTATCGTCGGTCGGCGTCGTCGTTGCCGCTGTTGTTGTCGTCGTTGCCGCTGTTGTCGTCGTCGTCGTCATCGTCGTCGTCGTCGTCCTCTCTGCTGCTTCCAGTTGAAGCTGGAGGTGCGATGGCGATGGATCCGTGGAGCTGGGAGCAGGGATGTTATTATTACGACGATCGCAGCACGCTGTGTGCTGACGACCTGCATCAGGTGTCCAGCAGTGGTGGACCCTGGTGCAACAACGGTAGGGGCTAGAGCGATGTTTATAGTGAATGTGTGTGGGTAGGGGTGGGGGGCTGTGTGTGTGTGTGTGTGTGTGTGTGTGTGTGTG